GCTGTGTTTCATATTGCGGGCGGTCCAGTGGAAGGGCGGTTAAACCTCAGTATGTTGAAATATGATTTCTTCTACAAATTATTCCATATGCCCACGTATACAGTTTGTATCCTAATGTTCAGAATGGATGGTCATGTCGTAATTTTCATTTTCTTTTATCACAGAAACCCTTTAATTTGATGCCATAAAAGTAATATCAATAATTAGACATGTTGTCTTGTGTATATAATACAATGTGACACTGATACATTGACCGTGTTTTGAGTTTACACTCTGTGAATATGACGAGCCCGGGAACCACTGCTCTGTAGCAAAATGAAAAATTGTGGTAGATAATTAATTCCATAATTCTAATCTAATATGAATTTAAAGTACCCTAGGTGATATTGATTTTAGTTACAGATAATATGTTGAACAAAATGTGGCAGTTTTTAAGCGAATGTCTTCTATAACCCTAAGAATCTTATGGGATTCATGATTTACTTTAAAAAATATATATTTTTAAGAGCTAGAAAATAAGTTTCTGTAGTACCGAAAACGCAAAAATGATCGGGAAAAGTGCTCACTTTCAATACTTTTATGGCCCTACCGTCGTTCCATTGAAACATGCATTTGATTATAAATTATGTTATACTGTGACATGTGGACCCATTGCTAGGAAACGTGATGACAAACACTTTTCCATGGAGGTGGATTCTTGGAAACCAACTCAGTACGGAACACGTTTCCGTGTAAATGAGTGATCAACAAACATTTCCTTGGATACCGATACGCTATATAAGAGGCCGTTCAGATAAGAACCAAGTCAGACGCGTGTGGAGGCGGGGTCGAATACCTCCACCGTGACACTGCGAGTCGTAGGGTCCCAAAGGATTCGGACCCTAGGAGGACTGCGCTGGGAAGGGCCAGTAACGTAAATAAAAGACAGACCCGTTCTCTCATCAGAGAGGTCGCCCCACGAAAACAAGACCGTAACTGTCAAACAGAAATATGTGGTCATGAGCCCCAGGTGGGGCTGGACACCGAGACTGACTGACTGACTTACTGACTGATTGTCAGTCGCAATGTGACATTGACTATGAGCCAAGTCAGTCACAAAGGAAGATAGAAGCCACGAGACTACAGTAGAAGACAGACTAGAAGATAAGTTAGTCGTCGTTCAAGTCAGTCATAGTTTAGACCAAAATGGAGCCAGTCGTAATCCAGTGAGAATGGAGCGATCCCTAGGCAGTCATTTATTGTGAGTCATTGTGATTACGAGTGATTGTACAAGAAGGTGTTAATGAATCCAGTCATCCAATTGAAACCCCGTTATTATTAATCACGACCATATGATAATACTCTGTCCAAAAATAATGATGGGGTTGCCGGAGGCTGTGTATCCTAATAACACGAAAGACAATGAGCTGAATACTGTTCCTTTAGGCTGCAACAGTTTCTCTAGTTTTCCAGCAAGGCCACACACCGCCGCATTTCTCAGAACATTTCATGGAAACTCTTAGTGCAACATTTCCTGGAAGATGGATTGGCGGGGGGGGGTCAGTTCTTTGGCCGTCTAGGAGTCCTGATTTGACACTGCTAGATAATTACGTTGATGTGGATAAAATTCGAGACCTGAATACTAATTTGAAAGCATGAAATAGAGGAGTCGCTGAGGAGGTAAGAAGAGTGGTGCTGCAGGGTGTTGTGATAAGAAGTGGGATGTTGATTGGACATACGCATGGAGGGTCACGAATGGTGCGTGTATGGAAACTTTCTAATTGTGGTCAAAAATACACTTTAAAATACAAGATAAATTTCTTGCATATGTTTCTCATTCTTTTCAAATATCTTTAACCTACTTTGGCAAAAATAAAAGTAGGCTTAGCGATCATGCTGTCTGTGTGCCTATGTCAGTGTTCCGCAACCTTTTTCTACTCGCGGCACACCATGAAGTATCCATGACTCAACACGGCACACCAAAATGTTATTCCCCTCAAAAACGCATGATATCAGACAATTAATATAAATACGTAACGTGATCAACTTATTATTATTGTATAATATTATTATATTGTTCTTTTATTATCATTAAACAGAAATAGACTCGTGCATTTATTAACAATTAATGAACTTCAATTCACTGTAGAGTGTAGAAAATACACTTCTATTACTATTAAAGTAAATACAGTAATTCTACTCATACCTTCAATGTGACACTTGCGCCTGCGTAGCTGCACACAGACGACTGATCCGTGGTGGAATCGTTGACAACGCAAGTCTCATTTCTTCATCGATGGATTTGAGCCGCTCCCTCTTTGATGTCTTAATTTCAGTTAACGTCGAGAAGCCCAGTTCACACAAATATGTAGTTGAAAATGGCAATAACACATTAACTGCCATCTCGGAGATAGCCGGGTATTCACTCCTTATTGCCAACCAAAACGTATCCAAAGGCACTTCGAGAAGTTTTAGTTTCAATGTTCTGTCTGCTTTTAAATCTACGAGTTCCTCTTGTATATTAATTGGAAGATGTTCTGAATTCACAACAAATGGATCACGAACCCAGTCGAAATCTTGTACACTCTCTCCAAAATACTTATTGAATTTCTGCTGCAGCATTTCTAAATGTTCTTTAATTGTGTCCATCACCACTTTATTGCCGTCAGCAAGTGGCCATACAGTCGGGGACATCTCAAAAGACCCATCTGTAATTCTCTAACTATCAACCAAAATTTCCAAACTACTTCAGAGCACAGCTGTGATAGAACTGAAACAATTGTAAAACGCGGGATCTCTACTCTTCAAACGGAACAAGTGACACTATACCGACTTATTTTTTAAATATTTATAATTTTAAATGAAGTCCAACATTCGGTTGGTGCATCGTTACAGGAAGAAAGTCATAAAGTTGAGGAAGCTCTAACTTCTAATAAACAAGGGCAAATACCGAAACAGCGTTATAAGAGACAGGAAAACCCATGCCAATCCCTGCAGTTTTAGGGAAAAGCACGTACACAGAACATGCGGCAAGCATATCAAAGAAGCTGCGTAGATGCGAGAAAAATAAAAATAAATCAATAATGAAAACTATGAGCAAATAATTTTCGTTTAATTTCTTAGAATACAACATTACTGTACATAAAAATCAGCATGTAATAAAGAATAAGCAAGCATCATCTTATTTAATCAGTGCAGTGGCTAAGAATAAAATACAAGCATATGAAACACGGTAACGGATAAAAAAAAACGAATAAAATTCGACAATTAATTTCTTATAATAGGTAAAACTTCGCGTCACACCTTTCACCTTGTGACGGCACACAGGTTGCGGAACACTGGCCTATGTACCTCTCTATCAAATGCTGAATGGCTGAAACAGTCTTCAAGAAATTGTGTATGTACGAGTATATCATGGCGCTTGAGCCCATCTCAACGGCGTAATTCATAAATCCCTCCTATTAGTCTACGTGTCTATATACGTATGTATCCCACTATCGTTGTTAGGCAATGGCTCGGCAAAATCGTTACCGCGACCACGAATATAACCGCAACAGTAGCATAATTGTTGAACGCGTTTTGTATGTGTCTCATGTC